AATATTTAATATTGAAAAATTTAATTCCTTTACTGCAATTAAGATCATAAAATAAATATCCATTTTAGAAATTGTTATTTCATCACTTTTAAAATTTACCTGAATTTTTTGTTCAAAAGCTAAGAATTTTGAAAATTGTCAAATTTTAAATAGTGATTAGAAATTTTCTAATTATTAAATAATGTACATATGATATTTTAATTTTTATGCATATTAAATAACACTATATTTGACAAAATTATATAGTTATAGAAAAATTCCAAACAAAGTTATATTTTATATATTTTTAATAATTTAATTTTGTATACCAACAACAATTATTAAAAAGAGAGCAATTTTTAATTAAATTTTTCATGAAATTTCTAAGTTTGTTCAATTTTATTTTAATGTTAAACTAGCAGTTAAAAGCTTGTTTAAATAATAAAAAAATATATAAAGAGGATAAAAAATATATGACTATTTTACAAAAAAAAACTTCTTATACACATCTACAATATTTTAATTGAAATATATTTGTTTTATTATTAATTTTCTTACTTTAATTAAGTATATCTCGCATACTGAAACTTAGCAGAATCCGTCTTTTACCAAAAACGATGTGTTATATGATTCAGACATATAGGATATTTCCAGATTGATATGTAATCGAGCAACTGGAAACTAGTACTTCTTAGAATTTACGCAGAATGCATGTGCTATCAATATATATCATAATATGCATCATAATAAATTTATTATTTTGTATTAAATTTTTTATATACGTCGTTTTTTGTGGTATGAATCATTCCTTTTTTTTATATATTCTTTTAAATTATTAATATAGAATTATTTTTAAAACAAAATTACTTATAGAAATAAAGATTTCTAAAATAGTTTCTCATATAAAGTATATCTAAAGATTTTATAAAATTTATACTATTTTACATATAAAACATATATTCCCATATAATACATATAACTCATATTAAATATTGTACATGAAATATTGTATATAAATATTTACAAATTAATGGTAAATATAGTAATATAAAATTTTGTAATAAAAAAATGAAAATTATTGATACTAACTAATTATTATACTTTCAATAAATATTAAATTTATTAGTATGAATAAAAAGAAATTAAATATTGAAATTTGAAATATTTAATGAAAATTATTATTGGTGATTCATTTAAATTTTTTAAGAAGGCACTGTACCGAAATATATACCATAATATTCAAATTTCAATAAATAATATAAAAAATTATAATACCTTTAATGAATGATCATAAATTGTGAAAAGAACTGTAAATATAAATTATATGAATATATATTGATTATAAAGTTAATTTATTGGATTCTATTATTTACTCGTTCAACATTTACACTTTAATCTACTTATATATATAAAGCATAATATTATAATTTATTAGATTACTATACTATTGCAAAATTAATTTCAATATTCAATCTCTTTCTTAACACCACTCAAGCATGTTGTTAATTTTAATAATCATCGAATTCAACTACATTATGTAACATACCAATTTCATTTAAGTACACAATACATATATTTGGATATAATTCTTCCATTATATAAAATAATATATTTTTTATTTTATCAGAAAAAACTTGTGTCCATTAATTTTATTCGTATATAACATCTTTCTATCTAAAAATTAACCGAATTACTACAGAACTATTTAAAACCTTTAATTTATTAATTGTTAATTACATATCTTCATATTAAATTAATATTAACTAGAATACTACTATAGAAACTATGTAATTGTAATGCCTAGTTAGCCTTGATACCCAAGCGTAAATTAATTGATTCTATATAATTAAATTTTTATATTTTATTATATCCGAAGTTTATGCAAATATATATATATATATACATATATATATATATATATATATATATATATATATATATATATATATATATATATATATATATATGTTAAATTTACGTTCAAATTTTGAGTTTTGTAAGTCTTAAACATTTTATGAGTTTTGTTTAATTAATTTTAATGTAATAATTTAATGTAATAATTAATTTTATTACAGAGACTATTATTAACTTTATTAGTGTGTTTTTTTAATGACAAACGTGTATTACATAAGTATTATATTTTTGCAATATAAAAATTCAATTTCTTTGAATTTCAACTTTCTAAATATTTTATTTATTTCAATATTTTTAATATTTCAGTAATAAAAGTATTACTGTTTAAAATGATTCGTCACATAATGCAATTATTTCTCCTTAACGTTTGAAATAATTTGCAGTTTAAAATTTTGTCTTAATATATATATATATATATATATATATTCTTTTTACTATAGATTTCAATATTTAATATAAAGATACACTAAATTTTTGTGTGTAATTTTTATAAAATATTATTACTTTTAAATTTTGTATTACACATTTTAATAAAATATGTACTATTTATTAATGAAACTAAAACTTATTAACGTTATAGTGCAAAATTTTTAACTTTAAGTTACGATATTAATAATAGATGTTTATTTTGCTTGTCACTTTATTTCTGTTTTGCTGTTTACGAAAAAACGAAAGAATCTTATGAAATGGTGTTAATTCACGATCGAATTCACGCGTGTAACTAAAACGATTTTACATATTCAAATGGAATATAACAGTCTGTAAGCTATGAATAAATATATGTCATATTGACTCTTATTGACATATGTAAGTTTTATCTTTATTACTATACATTTGTTTTTAATGTAAAATTGAGCGCTTTCATTTTACACGTTATTAATGGATTTTGACTTGATTTATTACACATATATTCTTCGTTTTCGTCAAGAAATATATGTGAAAATGTTCTTTCACATTATATATATATATATATATATATATACATGTGGCAGGAAATTATTTGTAATTATATAAGTGTGTATAAAAATATAATAAATATAAACAGACTATATGTAAGCATAAATAATATAAACAGACATGTATTAATATTGAAATATATTATTTATAATTAAAAATGATACAATAATAATTAGAAATGCACCATTCCTTATTATTTAGTTGACTGCCCTGCGTCTCTATCTCTATCTCTATCTATTCCTGTATTACGATTTTTTTTAGTTTCAATCACACGATTTATTCTTGAATTAATTAAATTCTTTAATTTAGTTACAAAAGTTACTTAATACGAATTTATTAGAGTAGATATATAAGTTACACTATTTATTATTAGGCTTATAATGATTTAAAAATAATGTATTAAAAAGAGATTCTTGAAAAAGAATTTAATATAAATGATTATTAATCAAATGGTTAACTTAATTTATGTAAGTAATACGAAATATTAATTACTACACATTCAATTTAGCATTATTTAGATCTAATATCTATCAGTATTTAGATAATTCATATATCACTATTTATAAATAATAGTATTTATTATTTATCATATTAGTTTCATATTATCTTATTATTTGATATAAAATATCTATTAAAATTGAAAAATTAATCAATTTGTCTCTGCTCGAACCTTTAATGCATCAGAAATATCTAACAAAATACAGCAAAAATAGACTACCTTTCCTTTCAAAATGCAAAGTATTAACAAAACAAAAGAATGAAAAATTAAAATCTATTAGATCACTCCGAAAAAGATCTTATTTATCTCTTTATAAAAAGAATATATCGATCACTGTTATCATAACCAGGATGTGAAATATTCATATGATTTACTCATACACTTTATAGGACCTCAAGGATGAACTCCAAGGGTCGCCGTAAATTTGTAGAACGCATTAGGCGCGACGGCCGACGGTAACAAGGGAATGCAATCGCGCAGGTGCGCGCCAGAATTTTCCGCGTGTCCCCCCCCTCTTCCTCTCTTCCACCCTTCTCTCCTAACTGCCTCTTCAGCGTACGTAAATTCTTCCTTTGTTTCTTAAAAAATTTTCATTCATCCTTGTTTTCGTTTATTCTTCTTGATTTGTTTTAATTTCCTTTTGAAGTATATGTATTGAATTTCGGCGATTTTAGTAAACTATAATATTAAAGTGAATCGATGGAGTGATTAATTTGAATACTGAACCATACCATCAGTTGTTCTGACGTATTATTCTTTATCATTATTTCAACTTCTATTATAATTTTATTTCTATTAATAAATTTCTTTTATTTATGTCTTATTTAAAGTAAATTTTTTTTACTACGATAATACTTGTAAGAAGTAAAATTGGTATCTATGAAATGAAACTTAACCTCAAATGTAAATGTTTACAATAACATAATGCATTTGCAAGTGAAATTTCTGTACATCTATTATATATGTTATAATTCATAACAAGCAGTAGTAATTGAAAATTATACTTTTTATGAATCAGTCGATTTGAATAATCAACTAATGTACATTATTTGCAAATGAATAATTCAAAAATAAAAATAACCAATATTGCTATTATCTCAAAGGTGTTGATTATACATACTATTTTTAATAGTTTTAATACCTTGGTTACTAATATTAAGTCATATAATAAATATCTTTGATTTAGTTACTTTTTATTAAAAAGTAATTTAAATATATTTCTAAGCTTCTGCATTTTTTTGTTGAATAATTTTGTAAAAATAATATAAATTAATGAGTCTTTCAATACTAATAATCGAAACGCAATTAAAATCTTTTTCCATACTATTAAAAAATTTTCCAAAATATAAAAATCTAGAATTTTAAGTTTTTATTAAAAAATATGTTACTAAAAGTTTTAAAGTACACCATGTTTGAAGTAAATCGATATAATCATACATGCATGTTGATAAATTCTACTTAATATTTAATACACAAACTTTAGAATAAACGCATTTGAAAGTAATTCTGGAAAATATAAACATCGATGCATAATAAAACGGTTACATAATGTATTTATTACTGTGTATTTTATAAAGCATACTAGGAGGAAAAGAACGGACTATGACTTGTAAAGCAATCGATCGAAATGAAACCCCATCGGCGTGCTTACCTGCGAAGCCGTCGGATAGTATCCGAATTGCGCATACGCCGACATATTCGTTGTTTCCTTACTTGTATGTCTCTTAGAATATGAGCAAATAACCACGCGTGATGGCCCTGTTTAGTTCCGCACTCGCATAAATAACCGCGCGGGTATTCAATCGCTGAAGTATAAGTAACGATTGCCAACGTAAATAGTAGTTGAAAATATTGCACCACACTGCACAATGCGCACAGAACTCCAAAGCAGTCCAGCTCGCGGTCGGATGCACGCAGCTCGATCCCAAGCAAACAAAGAAAAATGATTAAACTCTCTGAGCCTCACACGCCACGGCATCCGAGCTACGGCTACGTATTTCTCTTTCTCTGCCTCATGTCTATGTCTAGTCGCGACTTGTCGCGCGCGCGTTTTCCTTTTCCCACCCCCGCTCGCACACAACTACAAGCAACCAGTCACACAGTCACACGCACTCTCAGCCACACACGCAAATAAACACGCGCGCGCGCTCGGTTTCACGTCTATGCGCTCAAATACACATACGCTGATGACACGAAGGATTTTCTATCAACAGCGCTGAACAAAACAAGCAATTATCAACAATGTGACTGGAGACAACAGAGGACGGGTGAAAATATTCGAGGCTTTCCGTATGGCACCGCGAGGTTCTATAGACCGACCGTCGCGCACGGTCTCCGTCCCCTGCGCTCCAGTCAGCGACTGACTTCGTTCCACTCACACCACTTCAGCAAGCTCTCACTCGACTCGCTCTCTCACTCTCTTTTCAGTCACGCGAACAGTCGAACCCTCTGGTGGCGAAGAACGCAACCATGCCAATTTCATATGCTCCCACTCCAAATGGTTGGACTACGTTCTAACCAATGGGATGTCAACAAAATCAATTGAGTGGAGTTACGTAGGCGGTAACGTTTTCGCATATTGGTCACGCGGCAAGTGTACAGGAAGGCGGAGCGTATACGATCCGCCTCTTTAGAGGCTGATACGAATACTCTTATGCTATAAACTCTTGCATCCTTTTCTTTGGGTTAGCAAGCGAAGGTATGGGGGAGAAAGAGAGAGAGAGAGAGAGAGAGAGAGAGAGAGGGAAATAAAGAGAGAGAAAGAAAAAGAGATAGAAGGAGAGTGTGAGAGAAAGGGGTAGAGACGATAGTTAAATCGTGTGAGTGGCGAAGACAAGAATTGTTTATTTATTACTTACATATATGCATGCGCGTGCGTGGAGTGCATGAGAAAGGTGTAACAACCACAACCCTCCTATCAATTCTGACTAAACGCATCAGCATGTATCCTCATAGCCGGGGTTGGATATTTTGTCGGCACTCACTATGTCTCCACATCAAGCAACGAGTACGACTATAAAGAGCTTGTGACGGATAATAATGAGAAATAAATAGGTTTACGATAGTAAAGCTTTTGTCAACTATCTTAAGCAGTTTGAATTAGCCGATAATCTTAAATAAATTTAAAGCAACTTTCTTATACATGCAGTCGTCGTATTTAGAAGAATGTTTGCTCATTATTTGGAAATTTGCAAAAAAATTTTTATGTGAATTATTAAATTTAAGGAAACTTTTCTATAGTATTTTAATTATTAGACGAATATGAATTTAATAAATAACAAAATAAATCATACAATCAAAGATTTTATTTTTACCTATAAATTCTAATATTTACTAAATACCTAGTATCACTGCAAAGTTATTTAAGTGTGTAAATTATTCGAATTTTATATATAATCCTCTTAAATAATATTTATAAAATCATAATAAAATGTTAAAAAATTAAGATAATTATTTCCAGTTAAATTTACAAGGAAATTTAAATTATTTTAATACTTAAAATATCATTTATAAAACAAAAGTTCTATACTCGTGTAGAAATGTTATTTTCAATTGAAATTTATTTAAATTCATATTTATTTTAAAATTTTAAGTGCTTATACTTAAAAATTAAATAATTAAAAAATTTTAATCTTTATTAGTCCCAAATTTAATCACAACATTTATTTATAATTTATATTACATCTACATAGATAAATTTCTTGTTTATCATAGTAAGATTTAATACACTTTCTGCAACTTATAATAAACTTAATAAAACGAACAACTTCAGATATTTTCATGTTTTAATATTCACTGTACTTCACTCTTTCATATATATGATGTACCACATTTAAAATACAGACATGAATTAATTAATCGGTTAACTTTATTGATTTAGTTTATTATTTATATAAAATGTAAATTTAATACTTTATATGTATTCCTTTATGTTAATAATATAAATAAACAAAATTTTCAAATTATATTTTATTATAATTTTAATATTTAAGCAAAAAATACCACTTACATACACAGAGTTTTGTAAGCATTTATATAAAAAAACTTAGTTTTTATCTTTTTAAATATATTTTTTTATTATTTGAAACGTGATATATATTTTTTTTTGTATAAATATTTAAGATGACATTTTTAATTTTAGGTGCATCAGAAATATATTTCTAAAATTTCTTTTCTAAAAATTTTAAAAAAAATATAAATAAAAACATATATAAATTAATTTATGTATTTGTGTAAATTATACAAAGAAAATGTCAGAAATACATATAAAACTAGAATAAAAATATTAATGCAAAGAAATATATATGAATTTTTACACATAAAAAATAAATATATATTTTAAATAATTGTTATATATTTCTAATTGAAATTTTAATTTAAAATAAGTTTTTAGGAATTTATTAATCTTTACACATATCATTATTGATTAGTACTATTTTGGATTTAAAATATTTTAATTAATTTTAAATACTTAATAAAATTAAGAACCTTTTGATATATTTAAGAAGTATATATAAGTTTGCTTTTATAATTAAAAACTAAAAATTTTAACTTTTATAATAATATATTGTTTAAATGAAAGTAAACGTTTAAAATAATTAGTGCAATTTCATTATTCAATTTTTCGATATTTTAATTAAATTAGAATAATTTAAATATATTTCGTGTATAATATAGAATACACTGCTTTATGACAATGTGATTATAGAAAAATATTAGAATATTTCAGAATTTGAATTTGCTTAAGGAACTCGTTAATAATTTGTCATATTAGTTTATAAACAGTTTTATGTGATATGTAATTAATGAACGATACAAGTTGTAAAATTAACCAATTTAGTAGTTTAAAAAATATGAAAATATATTTTACAAATTTGATGCCTACAGTCTCAACAAAAATCTACGAAGAATCATGTGTTCAATTCCTACATACTTTTATGTCCGACGGCCGCCGGTGCTTGAATTAACATTTTCCCGATTCATTAAAGTTTCATTTCTTTATAATCAATAGTATACACATAAATTGTTTCACAGATTATTAGTGCTGATACTGTAAAAACGAAAAATTGTAAAGGGTCGCCAAAAAAGATCGCTAATTTCTAAAGGTACTCTGTGGCAATCACATGTTAGAAAAATTGTTCTTTTCTTCTCTGTTTTCAATTAAAATATTAGTTGCAGTCAGTTTTATAAGACCTATCACCTCGGTGGGACTAATAGATGTGCTGGTACGTAATTCAGAAATCTGTTGAAATAATTAGAAAACAAACGAGATATATTTACCAATATCCAAATAAGTATTAAACCCTAAGGTAAAGATTATTATATTTTCAAGTTCGACATTTTGTTCTTTTCTATAATCGGTTCACAATCTTTTTAATTCATTTCTTCAAGAGATATCTAAAAATTTATCTTTGTATATACTATGAATATGAGATGTGAATAGTATTAACATTCAAAACGATACAATACTACATCCTATGTAAAATCATCCATATTACATTGTAAATGTTATTAACAATTAATTATATTTTTTTCAAATGCATGCAATGAATTAAAATTTTGTTCTTCATTTAAAAATATACATAAAAATTATTTCATGACGAAATAAAAATTTAATTGAAATAAACATTATGTGTATTGTGAAAACAAAATATATTTTTGATTTAGTAATTTAAATATTTTTGAAACCCCAGAAAAATATTGCATTTTAATTTAAACTTTATGAATTATTAATAATTATTTAACATATATTGAATAATAATGTACCATAGTTGAATAAAACTTTAATTTATATTAAAAAGTGATTTTGAAAATATATAAATTTTTTAAATAATTTTTTGTATTTAATAGTAAACAATGATTGAATTAATTATATATAATTACGAAAAAATAAACTAATATTGTTACATTTTATATTAATATAAACAAAGTTATTGCAAAATGAGATGGAAGCAATTTTTATATTTTAAAATTGTTTTATAATATTATATACAAATTATTTTATATTTATATTTTTTAATTTTTATTTATAATACTTTTACCGTAATTAAGTGTATATAATTTCAATAATTTTTTCTGTCTTTTAGTTAGTAATAAAGATAAAGTTGACTGCCTTTTCTTAAAGTAATGTTATAAATAGTAACGGTTATTAGTTAAATTAACTAGTAGATTAAAAAATTATATTTTATTTTTTCATATATAATATATATCTATTTGTCGTTTCTGCGTGGTGACATCTAAGTACTTGATGAGCAATTCCTTAATAAGTAATTAAAATTCATTTCAGAGGTTAACTCACTTTAAAATGTTATGAACTACTTTGTACTTTACTATTATCTTATTAATTTTTTTATTTTAATTAATTAATTAATTAATTAATTACTTTGGTTTTTATTAAATATGTATTTGAAACTATGTTGACGTCATAGATTTTTTCATATACAAAATTAAATAAATGAGTTTATAATATCTTATTTAAAATAAAAGTAAATAAACTACAAATTTAGAAAATTTTTAATGCCATAATATAAAAAATATTGGTAGATTATGGATTTTCGATCACTACTACTCACTGGTAGAATGCAATTGAATAAAAACCAAGGATTCATTTTATATAAAAGAAATTTGTATTTATTGATATTTCAAATGATTTCAGAGAAACTTATGTAATAGAATTTTTGAATACTTGCACAAATACAATAAACAATGAATTTGGTCATCAATATTATAAATTTTTTAATTTATTAAAAAATATTAATATTTTTATATCTTTATAAATAAAAATAAAGTACATATTATATTTAAATCTATTTAGAGTTTTGTTAAATCATATGTTTAAATAATACTGACAGCAATTTCTGCTGTTTATCCTAGAATCATGATTTTTAATTTCAAATAAGTAGTGTATTTAACAAATATGACAAATGAGTCAAAATTATATTATAAAGATAGATATAGTATTGTGCATAAAAAGTGTGATATTCACGCGGAGCAATGTACGCGGATATAATACAAAACTCGTACTGGACAAAATAAAATCGACGCGTTTAGCATGAAAAATTTTTATGGAAGGACGAAAAAACTAATAGGGTCCAGACAGTCCTGGCGCCTTCGTATATACATGGAGGGTCAGACTCAGAATTTTATTGGGTGTCGGTCATTTTTTTACTCCTTACTTAAGCAGAAGAACGAAGCACTTGCCATTTCTTTTTTTTTTCTTTTAGATCGTATTATGCATTTTTTTAATCAAGGTTTCAGCTTATATTAACTTTAATGTTTTGATTCCACGCGCATTGCATTTCTAATTTGTTTTGATGATAATATACTATAAGGA